TTGCTTTTTCCAGGCTAATTTAGTCATTTTTTCCACCTTGTGAAGATAAGGAGCTGCTAATCTGGGAAAAAGTAGCCAAAACAGTGAAAAGTTGGAAAAAATGACTAAATTAGCCTGGAAAAAGCAAATAGTTCCTGGCACGCGCTGCGGCCCGTTGACGACCGCCCTAATCAACTGCCCGGATGACGAGGGTACATTGATCGAAACAAATGATAATCTGAGGGCGCAATGTCGGGACTATATGGCGGATGCGGCAAAACTTTCCATCCCAGCACTTCCAGTTTTTTTCTGAACGATCTTCGCAAAATGCGGCCGTGCATTATCGTGTAGCAACCTGGTCTTCGAGGTGTCAACCCCAGAGTGGCGAAGAGCCGTGTTCACACGGTCGAGTCTGGTACGAGCATCCGAACGTTACTGCCAACTACGAGTGCTGAGGGTCGGATCAGATTCAATGACTTGCTTCAACGCTTCGTTATCCAGAATTTCTGGCCTTCTTCTGTGTTTCATCTTCTAGGCTCTCGTTTCCATTGCGAAATCGCTGGAACCAGCGACGACACTGGCTTTCGGAAATGGCTTCTTCTCCAAAGGCTTCACATAAAGTTTTGTGCGCATGCAGTTTTGCCCACTTTGAAATCGTAAAGAACATGCCTGCAGAACGAATTTTTGGTCCACCATTTTTGAAATGATCTTAGGTTACTAAAACGAGCATTAACAGAAAAATCATAATTGCAAAAGGTAAACAACGAAACAAATAAAAAGTGTGAAAAATATGGCTGCTCAACGATTTCAAATACTTTCGAAATGGTTGTAAACACCGAACGCGCACTCATAACTTGATACCCTAATACAGTAAATCAGCTAGGTTTTCATGCTAATTTCGTGCATATATCGCCATCTGCCATGCCTTTCTCATAACTTTGGCTGCAAGGTGAACGTTAGATGCGTCCTGGACCCTTCTGTGAGTTGTTTTGCTCAAAGGCATAAGGCACGATAATATAGTACTCGGTCCAAAACGGTAACAGGAGTGGCACCGAAGCCAAATACGACCCCTCCCTGTCGGGGACCCCCAAACAGCGATGTGCCCTATTCAGAAAGCGAGTTGAACGAGTTCCCCGTTTTCATCGAGCCAACCTCCGCTATGGTAGACACGGCTGCATGTATAGTATGTACGCATGTATCCATGCAGCATCACAACTGCTTCATATTCATCCCTTCGTTTCATATTTTACTTCGCAAATGAAGCAATACGAGCATCAGCATCGGTCGGACATTTGTGGGCGGCGGGCGCGGTGGGCATCCGGGTTGGTATGCTGCAGCCTGATAGGGCCTTTCTTGGGAAAGGCACCACGCAGTGCCTGCTTACAGGCGCCGAAATCTGTCCTGCAAGGCGTATTAGTCCCACACGCCTTTTGGATTTATTTTGTAACTTGCTTTTAAGCAATAATATCCCTGGTTAGCTTTTCAACCCAAACATTTTTCTGGTTTACAGAGGTTCAGAAGCCCGCTGGAAAATTCACATTTCGGTCCGTTCTATGTGATGTTGTAAGTGAAGTCACGCGCACGTTATAGGCACTAGGACCTCTATACCCTGGAGATGAGGGCGTTGCTGCGTACTTCATCTCAGCGTGGCATCGTTAGCCCCTCTGGTAGGATATTCTTGTTTTGAGTAGAATGCTCATTGTCAGCACAAGAAAGAATGGCAGCTCTATGAAAAGGAAATATCCAACGAGAATGCATTCTTCTAAGCCATTCAGATGAAATAAACAGCTACACCGCTTTCGCATCACACGGAATGTTGAAAGTATCGTGTTAGGATACATAGTAATGAGTGATCATTTTTTCAATTAAAAAATTTTGTCCTAAAATTGAAATGTTTCGCAAGCAATCTTGATATCATCTGATAGAAAACTTATAAGAATATCAAAACAGCTTCGGTTGAGGGAATAATTTTTGTGAATTTTTCAGTCGTTGAAGTTGAAAGTGAAGTCGGCGAAAAATTAGCACCTTCGACAACTGCCTCTATTTACGTCTACTCGAAGTGCTAAAATCGCTTAAGCTGCTCCATACATTTGGAAAAGGTTGAGGTAGAAGTCTCAGCAAGGGAATCTCAATAGGACGCTTTGGAACTAATTTCAAGAATTTCAAAATTTGGCACCTTCACCTCGCCGATATTGGGCAGGCTCACCTCTGTTCCACCTGAAATTTTATGCTAATATGTTTCGCTGATTTGTTTTGCACGTTCTGATAGCGAATTTCGTGCTCTATAACACTGCTATAGAAATCTGTCCCCAGAGCTGATTTTACTTTCTGGCTAATTCAGGTTATCATTACGGAACTGTGAGATTTCGATGAGAAATTAGCGTTCCCGACTTCTCCGTACCGCTTTCCACGGAAGCTTTAAAGCTCCCAGAGCAGCTCCATAGAATTGCCATGGCTTGAGTAAGGCATTAGTATTAGGACGGCTCACAACTGATTCTGGAAAAAAAGCACAACCCACAATGTTTGACCTTGGCAGACATCCGGTGCCATAACCTCACGACTTTTTTTGTTTTCCTTAGTAACTTCCAAACACAGTATTTACAACACTATAAAAAATATAGTTACTCACAATAAACTAGTCAATGATATATTGCCCATCGTATCCTACAACCTCCTCCCACCAATCAGCAAGTTGTTCAATGTCTTCTCGGTAAAAATGCTGACCCACGGCTGAAAAACAAGGAAATAATGAATTTTTAATAATAACTATGCAGTGTTATAGGGGCGCGGAATTTGCTTATCCAGGGCATACAAAAGCATTCAGCGAAACATTCAAGCCACTCAGCATAAAATTCGTGGGAGTCGGGAACGCTAATTCTCATCGACCTCACGTTCCGTAATGATAACCTGAAATTAACAGGAAGTAAACAGCTCTGGAGAACAGCATTTCGCATTAAGTGCTACAGAGCACAGCTACGGACAATTTGCTATCAGAACGTGCAACAAATCAGCGGAAACCCTCAACTATTAGGCACGAAATTCAGAATGGAAGCAGAGGTGAGCACGGACCGCCCGATACTGCGACGGTGAAGGTTGGCAACGTTGGAATTCCTTGAAATCTCGTTCAAGTGCTCTATCAGATTCTCTTACGCCTCTAGCTCAAACTTTTCAATGTAATGGAGGGGCTTTAAGGGAAAAATTTTCGCGACCTTCGACTAGTAGCGTAAATGAGGCAGCTTTTCGAAGGAGCCTGGTTTTCGCCGCCTTCACTTTCAACTTTCAGCGACTAAAAATTTTCTTAATATGGTGGGCTGTCGCGCGGAGTGCTGCATTCGTATATCTGAACTGACACACGTGAAAGACGGCGCCAAAAATTTATTGCAAAAAACTCAAAAGACTCAAAAGAATCCAAAAGTTCTTGCAAAAATATAACATTTTTTTGCAAGAACTTTTACTAACTATAGCATTTCTTGATGGCGATGAGATGAAGGTGCTAGCACCGAAATATTCGAAGGAAGTATTAGAAACAAAAATTTTTTGCAAGAACTTTTGGATTCTTTTGAGTCTTTTGAGTTTTTTGCAATAAATTTTTTGGCGCCTCTTTCACGTGTTTCATGTTCAGATTAAAAATTGCTTAAAAATTATTCCTAAGCCGAAAGCTGTTTTTGATTAATTCGTTATATTACGAGAAGTTTTCTATAAGATGATATCAAAGCTTTGCCTTGCAAAAATTCACTTTTGAACAAGAATTTTCAATTGAAAAAAAACGCCACTTACTGGCCAACTCAAAACTTGGCTGTGATAGCGCGATTACTGCGGTATGTCGACCTCAACCAACTGGGAAATACTTCAGTTTCTGCGCGTCGCGCAACCCCGCTGACATCGGCATAGAAAACCTATGAAGTAACTGAGGCTTTGCCCAATGAAGACCGCAGGTCTGGGCGTATCAATATCATCTCAAACTTCAGGCGTGGTTC